TATTAGTGTATCTATTCCGAAATCATTTTTTCTTTCTTTCTTTTTTTATATTAATTTCATTTTAGAAAAAGAAAACATCATTAACATATCAAACCAACTGATTTTTTTTTTTTTTTTTTTTTTTTAGTGCAAGGGTTCTTAAATGATAAAGTCCTCTCAGAATCAAACTTAATGCAACTCTTGCGATTCTGTTGTAGCTTTTGTGGCTGGTCATGTATTACCTGATCCTATTTCATTTAGAGCTCCAACTAATTGTTTAAAATGTGTCCTTACACGGCAGAATGAGAATATCTAGTGATTATTAGATAAAGATGATCAGTTCACTTGAATCCTCATCAGAATGGAACCAAACCGGAGCAGCTGTTGTCAGAACTTAACCTTCATTGAACGCGCCATGGTTGACGTATTGATCACTCGAACGGCTCATATTCCGTATCTTCCCATATTCATGGTGATAGTGTGAAGGAGGCGAACGCATCGTGACGCCGAGCACAGTGAGCGCTCAGAGAAATCTCTGCGTCAGTCATCCACGATGGAGACTCAAATTTTTACAAGATTCTCCTTCAAACTGTCGAGGTGCGTGATGGACGAAGCGTTTTTCACGGAGGAGAGGAGGAGCCTGCAGGGAATAAAAAAGACTATATGTGTTACAACCGTTTCCTTTCAATCACATTTGTAGTTAGAGGCAGGTGTTACTCTGTGATCTCACCTTCTTGTCATGTGACCACACACCTCAGCTGATGTCTGCCTTTTATTGGTTGCTCCTGCCCCCTCCTCCCCCCCCCCTCTCCAGTCTCAACTTTGACCCATGCATGTGCGTTCAGGAGCAGCGGATATTATGCCACTTTTATTAGTTTCGTTCCATGACTTAAGTTGAGAGGTGTTACATCGGGTGGAGTGGTAGTTTTCGTCAGGCTGCAGGGAACTAATAAAATAAATTAAAACCAATAGGGCTATATATATATATATATATATATATATATAAGATGAAAAAAAGACAAGAGGTATTCTGACAATAATAATACACACGACAGTCAAACGCGACTGACAGAAGAAAGATAAAAAATAAAAAAATAAAGAAAAATGACCAAAAAGTTGTGGAGACCGTTTCATTACACCACCCCTACTCATCCTCCTCATCCTCCTCCTCTTCCTCACCCCTGGCAACAGCAGACAAAGCGCGCGGGTTTTAGTGGTTTTCTCCGGGCCGGTCAGCCTTTGATCTGGGCCCGTTAAGAAGAAGAGAGGAGAGGAGAGGAGTGGGGGTCCACCCAGGGAAGGAAGGTAATATCACCAAGAAAATACCGTTTTTTACTATTATTATAATTATTATTATTTCTTTGTTGTCGTCGTTGTTTGTTTTGTTCTCAATAATTACAAAAACAGAAAAAAAAATCATATTCGTTTTAAAGGGCAGATCATCTTAAAATTAGGCTGATTCAATCCATGTAGGCTGATGATAAACCCACACTATAAAAAACGAATATAAGGGTGTTCAATTTTAGCCATTAAAATATATTTATTTCCTAAAAGCAAATTATGTTAAGGCAGAAATAGTGTTCAGTAGTGGACCCCGTTTTATTGGGGTAACAAATCCTGACCTTTCTAAACCGAAGGTCTTGGTTCCGTTGACCTTTAGCGTGTCCCATCTGACGTGGAAAGGTCAAACCTGACCTATATTTATAGGGGCTGCATTATGAATGGGTGAACGTGGTAAAAGAAAGTTGACAACTACCACCACACTCGACTTTCTTTGTCGGAGTTTAAATCCAAGTCAAGCTAGCTTAGCGACAATGCTAATGCTAAACTCAAACGTGTTAGCAAGCTGTGCTTCTCGACCCAACAAACTGTTGCCAAACCTTGCCTTAGCTGTTGTCAGAAAATAGATTTCTGCATCTTCCCTTGAACAGATGTAAAAAGTTTACCGCTATTTTAGTAGCTTTTTATGCTTAACTAGTTTGGCAAAAACAAACAGAAAACAATGTTGCTAGCTGACTGAGCTTTCTATAACTTGTGGCGGTTTTTGCAAACCTTAGCTGGGAATTCATGACGAAAAAGTATATGAAAACACTTGAAGCATTATTCACAAGCTATATTTTTTTTTTTTTGTCTGTTTCTTTTCAGCACTGGTAAAACTTCAAAAGGTATACATATTGCAATTTAGCTGGTATACTCGTGTCTAGCTATTAACCAATAGTAATTTGGACACAGAAGACCAGATTCAAATGTGTTGACCTATAACATATAGGAACATCAGCTTCTTTTCTTTTTTTCAGGTAAACTCTACAAGTTTGTTTTAACAGCGCACAAGTTAAACCCTCAAGAACAGAAATGGGCTGTGAAGGGCCACAGAGTCGGTGAGGGAACGCTGAAAAGGCCAAAGTGGGTCATACTTTTATTTTGATTTATTTATTTTGCAGCCTCTTGTGGAAATCCAAACACAAACCAAACAACAACATGTAAATGAGCGAAAAAAATTATTTATTTGTATTTTTGTCAAACATTTGGTGAAGGTAGGTTTTAGTAATTACACTTTTTTTTCTGTCTTTGCTGAAAGAAAAACAAAACGAGAGGAACATTTAGAGCCCTTTTTGAATTGAGTTAGCTGTGGCATGATGAGGCAGGTGACAGAGAAAGGCCTTGGTAGATTTCACATCCAGCTCACTGTTACAGACATCAAAGCGGCTTCACAAATGGCTTATAATCAGAATGAAACATTGAGACATATAAAGTAGGTTGCCAGGGTTCATTTTGTAACATATGTGGTTTTAAAAAAAAAGAGCTCGCTGTATTATTGTTTGAAAGGCCCGATGGCTCACATAAAAATAACACTTTTTTTCCCCCCTTGCTTCAAAATGCATCGTTTTATGATCCATTTAGTGGTCAAACTAGAAGAACGCAAAGCAGAAATTCACTCTTTAATTATTATCATTATTTAAAGCGTTTTAACTTTAAGCTGATGGGAGAAGCGGAGCGTTCGTCTGTCCGCCTGAGGGGCCGAGCATGACCGATCCTTTCTGCGCGCAATGGCCTGAGCTGCAATCGCTTCCACAACTCCACGACCAACTAACGCGATTCATTGGATGCTAATTAGTGAAACGTGCCCCTCCCTCTCAGCTCCGTTATATTAAAAACAAACAAACAAACAAACAAACAAACACACACACAAATAAATAAGTCCTCTCCTCTCAAACTGCGCCACGCGCACCGGCACAACTGCGGCGTTTCTTATTGCTGCGGAATAAAAACCCGCCCGCCGCAATTAGTCCGTCATACATCGCCATTAGAAGTCTATTAAAACATCAAGTCATTATTGGAGCGTCCCCGGGCAGGGGAGCGGCGGGGGGAATTAGGAGAAAACTATCTGTGCCGCACGGGTCCCATTTGGATTAATGGGGAAATATGTAAAACATTTCGTTTTAATTCTCCTCTCACGGTGTTTTGCATACGAGCCTTTTCTCTCTCTCTCTCTCTCTCTTTCTTTCTCTCTCCGCTGAAGCGCTCATTATTTATGAAAGCAATCTCGACCGGCACATTACCGGGCTATGAAACGCAGCTCGCTGCCTAATTGATTCCCCGTCACATTTTTTTTTTTATTATTATTTTTTTTCCCTGTGAGGTTCTAATCGTGTTAATTGTAATTTAATCTCTCGGGGAATACCGGAGACACGTGTTTAAATAAGACCGCCGAGCGAAGACGTGGATTTGTATTACTGTTAATATTATTATCGTCGCGTTATTATATAATGGAAATGTTACGCAGAATTACGCAGCGGAGTCAGACTCGGATAAAGTCCTGAAATCTGCAGTTGTCAGGGTGGGAAAACCTATAGAAGAAGAGGTTTCTACTGCAATAATAAAAACATATAAACCTGTCCAACTCATTTGCTCCTTTATCCTCAGGAGGAGCTGACTTTGTCCCTGAATGATGCCCGTGTTGCAGTTTCTCCCCCTCCTCCTGCTCTGAGGTCTTAGTTCCTGTCAGTGGGTGGGGGGGCCACCTGTTGGAGCGGAGCAGCGTGCAGAGTCAAGTTGTCCCGTCAAAACCGGGCTCCTGCAAAACTAAAGTCACTCTGTTACGCTCTGGTGGGCTTGCAGCGTGGGGCATTCACAGCCGGGCGAGGCTGACTGGCTTTCTGAGGGCCTTTCATGCACCTCCGCAGCTCTCTGAATAGGGGCCGTGAGGAAGCCGTTTTTACTGGAGAAAATAATGTTTTAATTGCCTTCGAAGTTCACCTGAATGCGGCAACGCAAAGCCAAAGTTATTCTCACCGAGTTCATTTTTAATTTGACATTTATTGCACTACGTTGCGCCTCAGGTGGTTCTCCAGAAGTGGCATGGTGAACAGGATTGAATTGTAAAGGACAGTGATGGCAGCTAAAAAAAAAGCAAAACAACAAAAAAGAACCAAACAAAAAAACAGAAGATTGCGAGGGGAGAGAGCTGCCTGAATGGTTGCACTTCAAATTATTGCAGTTATTTTGTGTATCTTCAGATTTCTTAAAGTACATTTTGTGTTTTGCGAATTATCTAAATATAACCAACATGCAGTATACAAAAAGAACTAAAGTCAACTACTTTCCTGAAAAAAAAAGTATATATTTAACTATTTAATATCAAAATAATGCCTCATATGCCTTGTTATTATCATATTGGGCGAGCTGAAATGTGTTCGACTGGACATTCATGAGTTAGGGTTCGTCTCAACCCTATCTTAAGCAACAAAAAAAGATAAATAAGATGAACAAATGAATACTTGTAGTCATTTCAGAATAATAATAAAATGAATGAATGACAGAAACATAGACATAATTAACATATAACTTTAAACGAAAACAAAGGAACATTCAATTCAGTACTTTTTTCTGACTCTTTATGAAATTGGTTTACATGTTTGTGTTTCATACATTCCACCTATTCTTTTTTTTGTATTACTTGATCCCAGAGATCAAGTTTGATAACTTATTTGGCCTAAAACAGCAAACATGTTTGGATTGGACATTTTTAATAGATCGATTTTTAATGCAAATGTGCAAAAGTTTCACAAGGAAGAGGAAAACATTTCAAAGTTAAGCAGAGGTTAGAGAAAAATATGGCAACAATCTGTATTCTAAGTAATCAAGGCAAACTATACGTCAGTTGTTTTAGAGTTTATACATTTGATAGCACAGAAAATCCAAAAATGGCTGCAAATATTACATTTCAATCAAACAAAACATTTTTTTTCATTAGAGTTTGAAAACAAGCTCAATATGTTCATATGGCAGCAAAGAGTGAACCAGTTTCGAGTCACCGATGTGGCCAATTGCCAGTGCGACGGCTTACTGTCGGGGTCTTTGGCTGGTTGCAGGAGCCGTTTCTGTCTCTCTCTTTTTTTTTCTTTTCTTTTTTGTCTGGACGGGACTGGCATGGACACCGGGTCTGTCCCAGACACAATACATCATACAGTAAAGGGAAAGAAACAAGAAAAAAAAAAGAGAGAGAGAGAGCAGGGATGAGGTGGGGTAGAGGTGGTATGGCGCCTTTCATTACCATGGTCACCAATGGCACTATTAACCATTCGACACCCCCTCAATTATCCTCCCATCCGCAGTCAGAGAGACAAAGCCTCGGTCCTGGTCTGCTGGAGCAACATGGCCACTAATCTGTCTCTCCTTGAACATCACACCCACTTCACAGCCTCTGCGAGTCAGACAAGTGCTCCACAAAGACCCCTTTTGTGCTTTCATTTGTGACTTCTTCACTCCGCTCATTAAGGAGTTCATTTTTCATGTTCCGCTGACGCTATTTTCGACAAACGCTGCCGTAAGCGCACGCCGCCCTAATGTAGAAAGTGAGTGAAAATGTTGCTGCGCACAGTTTACTTTCAGGCCTTGCAGTTGAAAAGGAAACCGCGAATGAAACTGAGAATTCCTCCTTTAACTTTTTTGACGCAAAAAACGTGAGGGTGTTCGTGTGAAGGCAGGCGGCGGACGTCCCGCTCTGAGTGGAGCCACAAGGGCCCGAGGAATGGACCCACCACAACAGAGTGGTGTTGTTTGTTTACCCTTTGCCCCCCTACCCCCTCCTGCCAGGACATGCTGATGGGAGAGCATTCATCTTTTGAAGCGACGGAGGGTGACATGATGGTTGAACACGCCATCAGAAAAAGTGCGCAAGGTTCATTTCCAGAGGACAGCACTTTTCACACTGCGCACACACCACATCAAATACAAGTAAGATTCTGCTAAGTATTTACACGGACATAGCTACATATTCCTGTCATTAAACACGCATAAACCATGTTTTCCACTGTAATCTTGCACCAGGGGGATGGTCTGTAAAGTTTTTCCAAGTGCTCATTTTGTCTGTGAGATTCCCAGTTTCCTGTCCTGCTTCAGACCTGCGGCCCTTCCGATTATTTCTTCGACACCGCCGCAGTGAGGGTCAGGATGTTCTGAGCCTGCTTCAGCGAGGGCAAGTCGATCATGCTGCCGCGGAAGGTGAACGCACCCTGAGGAGAAACACAAACATTGCACTGGAAACATACGTTTCATACATACAATCAGTTGCAAAAGTCAAAATTCTGTCCATATTTTGGGAGTTAGTATAATAGCAAGGTTTTGTTTATTTCCTTCTCAGACATGAAACAAGATAGACAAAGGAAGAGTAATAAATAAAACACACACACGAAGGGCTCGGCTGAGGGAAGGCTAAGATATGAATCCCTTCGGGCGCTGCCCTGGCAGGGAGAGAGAGGTGGCGGGCAGATTGTGTATTACCTCAGCAGACAGCCCACAGAGCTCAGCACACAGGCTCCAACCATGCACTAAATTAGGGACAATAATATTGTACACTTAATTGGCCCAAATCCCCTCCCCTCACTGTCCTTAGAGTCACCCAGGGGTGTACAGTATGCAGCCTGAGCTATGGAGGTGTGCACACAAAGGATCAGTGTGAGCGTTGGAGCAGAGAAACAGCCGTGTCATCGCAGCGTACGGGCAGCAGAGAGACGCTGGCCAGTTACAGATGGGTCCGGCAAGAGCTGCTCTTTTATAATACAAACAATCAGGCTAGAGCCAGAATTAGATTTCTCTGGCATCGTACTCTCAAGTAAAAACACTGCTGTTGCATTACATTGGACCATTTATGGAAAAACGGCGAAAAACAGGAAAAAAAAAAGAAGGAATACATGTAGCATTAATCTTTTGTACTAGCTTTTATTCATACACAAAGAACAATTTCTGCTGTTGTTTTTACAGTAAAAATAATTACATAAAATCTTTGGATATTGTTATTTTGAATTAGATGCACAGACCTTAAAAACATCCTGAGCACAAACTAATTTCACTAGTAGTTTTCTAGTGCTTATATGAAAGAACGTTTTAGTTATTTTCTCATTTTAAATTAGCACCTAACATCGCCTCGTTAATTAGTCAGGCTATCTGCACAGGGAGAGCATGGAGTTGACTTTTTAACATATACATGGCCTCCCAACTGTAATTTTAATTGTATGTTTTCTGTTTTTTTTTTTTTTAATACAAAATGTTCTCTCTAAAAATGCAAATATGCATTTCTCAGCAGGAAATACCATTACTTCCAAAACACATCTGGTTTTTCAAGACCAGAAATGTTTTAAAATAATGAAGTTCAGCTTTCTTATAAGAGAGGGGAAGGTGGAGATGATGAGCAGTACGTAGAAATAAGTAGGGGAGGAGGGAGCTCTGTATTACTCTATGCTTCATACAACCAAATCAAGACTTTAATTTGTGGGAACTGTGCGATGTAAAATTGAAAGAGTTTTGATCAACTTCCTGAATCTCCATCAGTAACAACCCCATGCTTAAATACAATAAATAATATTAAAGTCTTGTTTGGTTGAAACAAAATCATTGCAGAGAAATGATTCATGATTCTACATCCATCATTACCTTTCCTTCTTTCTGATGCTGGTCAAACGCAGCGATGAGCTCCTCGGCCCACTGGACCCTGTCTTGACTCGGGGAGAACTCCTCCTGCACAGCCTGGACCTGCCCGGGGTGAATGACCTGTTTACCTGGAGAGAAACACACACACACACACACACACACACACACACACACACACACACACACACACACACACACACACACACACACACACCCCCCCACACACACACACACACACACACACACACACACACACACACACACACACACACACACACACACACACACACACACACACACCAGAACGTTTAGCTCTTTTAGTCGAAGCTGCTTGTTTTTATTTTTATTTTTCCCCTCCAACATAATGCTGGTCATTTTTGCCCTTTCACCACTTCATTTTGTTACGTTTTTCTTTTCTTCTTCGTTTTTTTTTTTTTTTTTAAAGAGCAATTTTCCTGGGGACATTTCATAGACACAATGCATCAATTGGTACCTGCTTTAAACACTGGCATCCTCTCTCTTCTGCTCATTCACACAGTTTTATTACTTTGATCAACGTCATCTAATAGCAGGTGATCGCTCAGGCATTTTGTTTCGACTAAGGGTGAAGCTGGTATGTACGCCAACTCAAGTTGTCATCACAACATCAATTTGTGCAACATTGCAGCAGCAAAGTATTACTTATTTGAAAAAATCAGTAGGATGTGTCAATGAGTATGTGTGTAAATAATGCATTTGAAAATATTTTTAGAGCCGGGCTTGGTGATACTCGACGTCTATACACAACTGACTTCTCTCTGACTGCATGTCCAAATAGACTGTGGTGAAACAGATGGGAATGAATAGCAGTGAATAGTAGTGAACTTCGTAAGAGTTCACTACGGCAAAAGAAAAGTCTGTCGCTAAAAGACTGAAACTGAAGACTAACAAGGAGTTATGTCTCTGTTGGTCACAATCTCTCACACACACACGCACACACGCACACACACACACACACACACACACACACACACACACACACACACACACACACAACACACACACACACACACACACACACACACACACACACACACACACACACACACACACAGCCATCTTCTCTGTTAAATGTGGCCGAAGGCTGTGGATATAATCCCGTGTACATTTGCAGATCAAACTTGTAGCGATAAAGTTGAGGGTTATGAACATGTCTGGCGAGAGCGGCGGCTCAGCGGCAGCCCGACACTTTAGGGCTTAGCTCTGTCGCCAGCGACAAATCCTTCAAGGAGGCAGTGCAGGCGGGCTGCACAAGCCAGTAGGGTTAAAAAAAAAAGTCACAGAGGAGAGGGCAGGAAAAATACGGGGGGAGGAGAGGACCCAGTTGCTTCATCAAGCTCTTCCCACCCTAGTTAACCCATGAAGAAAAGATCTGGCAAAGATCACGTTAACTCTGAGGTGTTTAGTTTGTATTTTCATGTCATAGTAAACATAGTACGAAAGCTGCATTTTATTTGAAAAAAACATGTTAAATTACAATAGAATGCTTTAATCTTTTTTAACTTTTTTGTTTTTCAAAAAACAGACAAAAACAAAACAAAAAACAAACAAGAACTTGGCTGGAGGTAGCCAAACTATAAGATGGAAAGATTTACATATCAGACCTGACGTATTATGTCATATTTTACCACAAGAAAGCGTATCTTTATGTCAGCCCATCTGTGTGTGTATGTGTGTTTGTGTGTGCAGCTGTTTAGGACAACAAGAGAACGATGGTTCCAACAGGGCCGGGTGGGTGACTCAGGTGCCCTTGGTTACAATCCATTGGTTCTCCTAAAATGCATCATTCACGCCCTGCAGCCAATCCCTGGCTGCCGTGTGGGGCTGGCACCTTATTGGAGGACGGCTATTTAGCAAAGTGCTCTCAGGCGAATGATGGACAGGGTCCTGGGGTCTGAAGTGAAACGTGGTCCCTGAGAGCAGAGGAATTGTTTTTCTATCGCTAAAACAAATGCAAACCAACAACTCAGACTATATAAAATAGGAAGTCAATAAAATATTTAACTACAATATCATGAAAGATGATATTTCATTATCTTCTGGTGTGCACATTGGTTCAAAACAATTCTCTCCTAAGCTCCCCAGTACGGAGCACTGGTGTTCTGTACTCTGCGCTTAATGGGTGCTGCTCCCAGCTTAGGTTGTGCCAAGGTCAATTACTGCGCAGGTAGAGCTTCTGGCAGCACCGTATTATTGCTTAAGCACACATGGGCCAGTAATAGCTACTAACCAAGATTATACCGAGTGCCCACGGCTTGTGCGGCACTAATCCACGGCTTTAAATGCTTCTGCTACCTTTCAAACTGAACCATTTATTTCATCAACCAGCTGTTTCCCCCTCCCCAGCTTTTCAAAATCATGCACCGAGAGATAAATTGCAAATCCATCAGGCCCAAACAAATACAAACAATTAACAAAAAGGATTTTCAGTCTATTCTTGCCTAAGCTTCAGGAATCATGTGCCGAGTGTAGATCTGAAGATGCAGAAATAGGATAGACAACAAAGCACACACACACACGTATCACACTGCAACACACGGGAGGGCAGAAGTGGCAAACAAGGTCACCTGGATGAATTTCTGTGGGAAACAGCAAGAAGTGCAACCCACACACCGATATAACATGATGTGCAGGTATTTTGTGTGCTTCGGTTCGCGCCCCATGACGGGCAGGTCATTGATTCGATGTCTCTCCTTTGCCATTTTTTTTGCCGCTCTGGACAGAGAGCCACGGAATCAAAAACCGCCACTGATGAGAATACAGACTCCTCAGGATGCAGTTGTCTAAATTATTAATATTTACTGAGAGTGGAAGCAGACTCTAAACTGTTCCGTCGTGAAGCACTATATCGTTTTATGGCGACATCGTCATCACAAAAGAACAAATCTAAATAGCAGGACGTCTTGAGTGCTTTCAGCAGATGAGACCTTTGTAATGTTCTCCCACAGGGAGGATCCAGAAATGATACGGCATGCAATTAATACAACAAAAACTGATAACAACGGGAAGCAAGCGCAGTTATCAAAGGAGCACCTGGAGGATATTAATCATGATTACAGTCAGAGAAAGCGGCAGAAATGTTACCAGTGAAACCCATGAGAGCTCCCTCCTTGGCCTGTAGCCTCAGTCCCTCCACATCTTTATAGTCGATGTAAACCAGGTCGATGGCCTGCAGCCCAAAAGCCTTGGTGGTCACCACCACCTTCTGCCTCGCGTAGAGCAGCTCTCTGGCATCCTTAGTCCGCGTGGCACCTAAGGAGGGCCGGGAGGCAAATGCAAGAATGCTGAGGTAGAAGAGTGAGAGGTAATAAATAACACACACAGTGACTCTACACTAGAAGGAGGCTTTTTAAATCACCCAACAGGAGGGATAACCATTCAAATATACAGATTTTCCTACAAAATCATTACTTACCTTTCAAAATGTTCAAATTTGTTTGATTGCAACAATAAACGAAACGCTCAGTTATTTTTGTAAGGGAATTATGTGATGGGTTGAAATAAAGCGATTGTTTTAAAGTGAAAGGAAAACGATACATGCTTTCCATGACTATGAATCTGAAAAGTGTGGCGTGCATTTGTATTCAGCTGCCGTGAGTTAACATGCACAAGAACTGCATTTTCACAGAAGAAACAGCAAATGCTTAAGAGTACATCTCTACCGGGGTTCATTTTTGCCCTTTTCTCTTTCGCAAAATAGTGTAAGCATAGCATTCTGTGAGTTCATTCTCAAGTCCCGCCAAATATTCGCAGCGTAATTCAGGTCTAGACTTTGACTGTACCATTTTAACAAGTTACTGTTTTCATCTGGAGGCGAGCCCTCTGCTCCAGTCTCAAATTCTCTGCAGCTGCTAAACAGGTTTCCTTCTGCATTGAACTCTATCTTCCCGTTATACTCTGACCAACGTCCCTGTCTCTTTTGAAGAAAAGCATCCCACAGCATGATGCTGCCACTACCACGTATCTATCACCTTTGTGTGTTACGTAACATCGTAAGAGCGATGTTACGTCTTGGTTTTCCTGCACTCCAGTTTATAAATGAAAAGGCCTGTTTAGCTCGTGGCTAATACTTTTTCAGTAAACAGCGAACAAGGGCATCGTGGCTGCTTTTCTGATTAATGATCTCCTTACCCTGCCTGTCAGCTTAGGTGAAAGGTGACATCTTAGTCTGTCTGTTTAATAATGTAAGCCTGTATAAAAGTTCTCCGCAGTGTTATCCCAGCAGCTTCTGGCGTATTCCTCGGTCTTCATGATGCTGATTATCCACTAATGTTGTGACAAACTGCTGAGGCCTTCGCTGAACAGCTGGATTTACAGAGACTAAACTGAACACACATGGGCTTTGTTAACTAGGGAAATGATTCCTGAAGACAAATGACTGCACCAGATATTATTTAGCGGTATACATATCCATGCCTCACTTGCCAATACTCCGCGTTGCCCAATTGGTTTCAAATCCAAACAAAAATATGTCCTTGTTTGTTGTTTTAAAGTCAGAAAGGTGGAAAGGTTTAAGTGGTCTGAATATTTTTGCAAAGAATCGCACAAAAAGTATCAGTGTGAATATCTAATCTACTGCTCTTTAAATGTGTAAAAATATAAGTACAGAGTGTGACCGCCACCTATGCTGGCACAGAAGTCATCGGAGCCAAACACCACGCCGTCATGGTGGAGCCCGGCCCTGGGAGCGAGCTGGCGGATTTCCTCACACACAGCCTGACGGAGAACAAAATGCATCAGCATAACAGTGGCAGGAGCAGCTGGACAGAAGAGACACATTTGCAACATTAAAAACACAGAAACAACCACGAGCAAACAAAACAAAAAGGAGAAAATAAATGAACAAAAACCTGTGAATTTATTGCATGGATTAGTTCTGATGTGTTATCAGGAATATATAGTGTTGAACTTTACAGTATTTTTGCAAAACTGCAATCTTTTTCCTTTGTTTTCTCATATTTCTTTTAAATTATGTTTTGGCTTGAAAGACAAAATTGTATTTGTGCACACATCTAACAGCACCAGTAGGGAAATATTACCTGTTTCATCTAGGAAATTGCTCGTTAATTTATTGTTTTGGCCAGAAATCTGCTCAGGGCTCACTAAAAGATTGGAACAAAACATAATTAAAAGCCACACAGGTGTTACAGATAAAAGCGCATTAGACTAGCAGCCACAGTCGCGACTGAAAGAACAAAAACCTGGACTGTCTCTAGTAAAGAGTGACATTTAGTCGGATGTTTTTCAGGCTTTTTTCTTTCTTTTTTTTCCCAGCTCCAAATTAATACCGCCTCTAGCTGTGCTACAGAAAGTTTGTTACCTGGTGTTCAGTCTGGGCGAAAATAAAGGGTTTGTGTAAGGACCAGGCAAACCCTCCTTTCCCCCCCTCCCCTCTCCTAACCACCAACAAAACACACACGCACACACACATACATGATCACAAACGCAGTCGGAGAATTATACTGAAGAACTGACAGATGAACTAAAAGAAGGACTGCCAGCTGGTTGCTCCCCAAATCTGCTCTCTTTACCCCTCCAAGAAGCTGAAGGTCATGCTGCACTGTTAGGGAAATCTGACTGACTCCAACTGAAATGTCCTAAAGTATTTTCTCTCTACGAGGATATTAAATTATCACTAATTAAACAATGTCAGGACGTCTGAGGACGGAGGGCATTTCGAGAGGCGGTGGAGGAGCTTTAGATCCTCTTTCTTTCTGGATGTTTGTCGAGTTCTCCTCATGCTGATGGAGTCTTTAATCTAAAGCCAACAATGAACAAACAGCAAAAAAAAAAAAAAAAGAAAAGAAAAAGAAAAAAATCTGACGTTTGCAGATTCCCTTTTATTTACTCGTAATCTACCTTAAAATTGAGCAGGCCCGCAGCGGTTTCCACGAAGGTGACGAGGCGAACGGGGTCTGTCAGCGTCCGTCCTTTCAAGTTGTGCTGAAACCTGTCAACAAACTGAACACACGGGCAACGTCTCAGGCTCCGCTCATTAACAATACCCGCGGTTTTGTGTGACTGGGAGACAATAAAGCACTCAGCAATTGCAATAAATTAATTTACTTGCAGTGCTTTCGACCAATCATGTTCACACAGTCCAAATAAGTGGAAAAATAGGTTTTTGGTGACTCAAATACATTTAACTTTGAGAAAAAAAATATTTTCTCATTTCATTTTTTTATGTAACCTGACACTATTTTTAACATTTGGTTGAATTTGTCAATTTACTTTTATCACTTCATTAGTATTGACAAATGATAACACATTATAATAACAATAACCTTTATTTCACCAGATAAAAACCTCGCTGAGATCTACAGTCTCTTTTTGAAGAGGGACCTGGTGACATAGCAGCACCTTATACAACTATCAACATTTACATTCAACCAGAGAAATACATCTGTATAGTTTTAACAGCACCAGGCACTAGTTTTTTTCCAGGGGTAGCAGAATAAAGGGGAACGGATAGAAATGATACAAACAGCAAATAGCAGCCGAGAAATGGCACAAAGAGTTGCAATGGAATGCAAATTCAGCAAACAACAAGAGACAGCTACAAAACTGTGCACTGGATTTTAGTTCAGGGTAGCCAAGTAAAATGGGCTGAATACAAATATTGTAAACAACAACAGTGCAGTGGGTTTTATTTGGGTGTGGATGAGGCAAAGGGGGCGGGGAGTGAATATGAATTGTACAAACAGCAAAAGCTAGCTAGGAGATTATGGAGTGGATTTTGTTCATAGGTGGAAGAGGAAAGGGGTTTGAATGCATAATACATCATGACAACAACGCAATTATTTTTCTTTCAATTGCACGCCTTTGCAAATTCTGTCACTTTACATTTGGATGCGTTGTTCTGCGGTAACAACTGCAAAGGATTACAACTTTTTTCAAAACCTCTGGTAGGGGGGTGGGGGGGGGGGAATGTCTTCATACGTTAAAATTCCTTGTTTGACGGAAATCCCGACACCTTTATTACCTGCGCCTTGGCAGTTTCAGTCCTTATTCAGAAACACATCTGTGGAGGCTCACGTGGCGCAGGGACCACGCACAGGAGAGCAGCAACAAAAGCGAAGAAATAAAATATTTTACATGCACACCAGGGTTCCTCCCTTCGTCTGAAGTGTTCTGCTCTACCTTCTTTCAGAGGTTCTCCTCCACTACAGCTTGTGCTCCCCTGAGAGAGCATGCAGACATGTAAATGCACCCACGCACACACACGCAGACACACACACAGAGAAGAAACACAAGTGCAGGAAAAGGAAGAAGAAACAAGATTTGGGACGTCTTTGAGCGTGTTTTTACCACCGCATTATTCTGTTTTCCGCGTGCCTCCTCTGTGGCGGGGAGCACGGGAGAGCGCAGCAACAATCAGAGAGCGATGTGACACTTTGCTGAGGCCTTTATGCTGCACGACTCCTGCTAATATGCAAGCTCACCTAAAGTAGGGTTTTAAAACCCAAGTTTAATTCTTTGAAGACCAAAGCATTCCGATTTTTTCCAACAGACCAGTTCACAGCTAGCCCTGGACTGCCAGTGGGGTTGCCCAAATTCCTAAATCTATCATCTGGAAACACACAAAAGCCCCCTCCGTCAGATATTTCCTTTCAAAGCCAGACAAAAAGAAAAAAAAAAAAAAAGACAGAAAGAAGAGGGAGAGCAAAAGCTCAGAGAAGAAATGTCTACCTCCGAGTTCCCCCTTCCTCTCCGTCTGCTCCTTCTTTAAGACATCAGAAATAAAAATACATAAATATATGAACATTACAAATAACCCCAGGTACATCATCACTATTTGTCCAAATGAGGAGCACAATAGCGCCCACACTCACCACTCTTGTTCTGAAAACTGAAAGAGTGGACCTCCATTGAAGAGGTTCGACAAAAAAAAAAAATAGAGGCAATTTTAATCATCTCTCCATTCAATCTCAGTTGGATAAATCATATCGGGGAGATTTGCATAAATACAAACCATCAAAGACTTTTCATCTTCAAAGAGGTTTTCAAGACCCAATAGGCTTTGTACTGTAATCATCTGAGGTCACAACCCTGTGGGAGCAAGGCTGCTATGGCAACATAAAAACTAACGCTGGGGGTTTTAGCATAATATGCCCCCCTCCCTCGCCAACACAGGAAGGGTTTTTTTGGGGGGAGGTTGGGGCGGGAGTGGGGTTAGGGGTGGTCTGAGACGGAGTGTGAAAAGAGGGTGTAGATAAACCCATTTCTGTGACAGAGAAGACCCGGACTGATGTGGCCTCGTCGTTGGGGAATCCAGCAGACGTCGCCGCTGGCCGGGCGAGCGGTTTAGATCCTACCGAGGGACGGCTCCACTGGACAAAAAGAAAAAGGGAAAAAAAAGAACTCTTCCATGATTACATGTTTCTGTCCTTCCTCAAAACTCTCCTCTTCAGCTATTATACACCGTCAGGGTCTGATTTACTAGCAAAAGAGGGGCTACAGTGGCTGTTTATTGTCACTCTGACACTCACAGAAACCATTAACTGTCAATGGCTATCAAAACTAAGACCCTTTAAGGTGCTATTCTGGGCAGAATCGAAGAAAAAATAATTAAATAAATAAAAGAATTGTTACAAGGGAAGAAATAACACCTCTTCTTGCCATTCAGTGCCACGACGCAAACAAGCCCTCTGACAATTTTCGACTCGCAATCATGAAAAGAGAAGGAGGGAGAGACGGGTGCGAGAAAGGAGGCTATAGTGGGACAAGTTTCAATTAATTTTCTTCAAAAGGGGCCAGATTAAATGTTTCCGGCCTGCTGAAGTGTTCATTTCACAGAGGGGAAGCGGAGAAAAGGGGATGAGGGGAGGGGACGGGAGGAGGAGTAGAAGAGGAGGAGAGGAGGAGGAGGAGGAGGAGGAGGAGCGGGACAGGACGCGATTCTTTTGGTCCCTGGTGCACCAAATAGTGTGGTGGGCAAAGAATGCGCACGGCTCCGAATCTGTGTGAGAATTGTCCTCGAACAAAAGGGTGCGTGTGTGGAGGGGGGTTTACGCCTGTTACAGCCCAATAAGGCCTGTCAGTCACACAAGGGGCTGGAGGAGAGCAGAAAAGCCAGGCAAAAGAGTTTGGCACAAAGAGAAACAAGCAAGTCCATCTTTTAGCGACAAATCAGGCTGAAGGTTCCTGTGCCAATATCAATAAAAAAAAAAAAAGGGGGTGAAAAATAAACAAGTGACGGATTTACTGCCCGGCCTAACAAGAGCGGAGAGAATCAGACACATGCTTACAACGCAAACACACACGTACACACGCACACAGAGGGAATAGTCTGGGTAAGGGCACAGACGAAAAGAGCTGTGAGGGACTGAGGTGACATCGGATGAGCATGCATGACAGAGTTGAAGCCCAATGCAGAACTTGTCTTTGTCTCTGGAGCGTGCGTGCGCCTGCTGGTGCAGAAACACACAAATAAATCACGACAGAAGCGCGGTAAGCTTAATAGCCAGCATATAGGTGCACTTGGATAAACATACAATCAAGAGCATTAGTGTCACGAATGGGGGCGCTGGGGAAAAATAGCACACTGCGTCATACAGCTTTTAATTAGCCAACAGTTTTTTTGTTGTTGTTGCTGTTTTTTTTTTAAACTCTTGCAATAACAATAATAATAATTTTAAAAGGAAAAATGCATGACAAAAGTGTCTTTTTGAAGAGAATGAAAGTGCTGCAGGATGAAAAGCTGGAGCAGTGAATAAGCGAACACCTGTCAGCAATTATGCTGGGAAGAAAGAAAGGGCAGCAGGAAATAGACGTGTTCTAATTAAAACCACTAGTTAAAAACTTCCTGCGCCTGCCACTAGACCATGTATGCGTACATATTAGTGTGTGTATGGGTGTGTGCGTGGGCGTTCGTGCGTTCGCGAAGGTCTCCAACCAGACCAGACACATGCCTTTCACAACAGATTTAACTGAAGCCTTTAAAAGGCTATATTAGCCACTTACAAAAAAAAAAAAGCTCAAACGTTCAGAATTTGAAGCATATTCATCATCGTTGAACTATTACCACGCAAACAACGAAAGACAGGAAATAAAAAAAAAAAAAACAGACATTTATAGTTTTTATTTTGTGGTAAGTGAGGCATATGGAGCTGATCAAAAAGGTCTACATTAATGATGTCCCTCTCTCCTGACCTTTGAGAACGTGACATCCGTACAGCAGCCTTTTATGGAAATTCACAGGCACGGTCAATGACAAACAAATGGCTCTTAACTACATGTATTTATATTATTTCCAAAAAACTTAATATCTATATAAAGGTCAAGTGCAGTAGCCCGATTATTAAAAACCCCTTTAAAGGCGTCAGACAAGCTCTTGAATAAATGTATTCTTAGATGTATTCTTTTATGCAATTGCATTGACAATATTTACTGACTGATGTTTGATATTTACACCAAAATATTTGGAAAAATCCCAGCCTTCAATGATTTATTTGAACAAAATTATGTGAGCCAAAATACCAGCACCACCAAATGTTTCTACAAAGTAAATGCATCTCAGACATGTTTTCAATTTATACTCAATTTTCTTATGTTGACCAAAGTGTCTAAATGGTAATCCATGACTTCCTGTGAGACACTGTGATCTTATCACTCTTCAAAATGGAAAAGACAAGAGAACATGTCAAATAAGGAGTACGAACAGGCATCTTTTGCATAATTAGCATAAATAAATAAAATGATTTTGGCAATAACAGTGGTGAGCCCAAACCGATCATGGTTTCAAACCCAAAACATCTTAGTGTGGATGTGATTGTTAAATTTGAAGTTTAAAACATTTAGTCAGTTCCATGTGAGCATCAACACAAGCAGTAAAAGCCCTGCTTGTGTTTCAAAACAAAACGGAAATACTATTTTGCCGTAGATGTGAACTATTAATGAAGCTGCGGTACATATCTATTTTGATAATGAACAAGTAAAATTTTTAGAACAGTATTTTTGTTTTTGTGATGCTCTGATAGTGTAAAGTTATAAATGTATAGAATAAAAAGAGTGTGAGGAGGATAGAAAGGTTAAACGGTCTTCAAAGTGACCCTGTTAGAGAACTGTTGGGGGTGGTGAGGAGGGGCACAAAGTCTCCAAAGCAACCACTCTTTTTAAGGAATCACATCTTTACCAGAGTTGCCAATAACTGGGAATGCACTCCCTTGATGTAACATACCGACACATGTTTATGTGTTAAACAGCATGTAAAGCCCTTGGTTACTTATGGAAGGCGAGTACCACTGGGCCCTTAACAAATTTAACCACACACTTTTGTTTTCATCAGTATAAAGAACTTCAATTGCAGTATATTAAACTAGGACAGAAAAAAACTAAAGATGCATTAATAAACTGGCTTGTAACCAGATTCAGATCATTTCCTTGCCTGATCAGCAGCCAGAAGAAAACACAACATTTTCTGAGAAGTAAATTGTTCCTTATAAAGTGCCAAGTGGTTGTGATGAAAACAATTTTTAGTGTAGCTGCAGCTCTAGAGTGAAGGAGCCTCAAAGTTAGATATTTTCATAACAGTAAGGTATTTATGATGAAGCGCAAAAGCTGTTTGAAGAGTTTGTTGAAACATATCTGCGGTTCTACCAGCTGGCGAGAGACAACAGGAAGGATAAATGGAGTACAAGTTCTGTTTATTCCCATTAGCTTTAAACTTCAGCTTCAAACCCAAACACCAACTACCAATGAAAGCCTTGCTTTAAGTGTTTAAAGTACTTTTAAAATGGCGAAAAAATTTTAAATTATTATTGAATTCTAGAAAAATAAATATATTTTGGACAGCTGGCTCTATAGCTCACCCATTTGACTTCTTGAATGTCTTCCACTTTGGGCAGCATGATGGCTGGAGGAAGAACCTTTGCTTGAAGAACCACTTGCAGGTCAGCCTCAGCTAGGCCACTGGAAACCGAATTTATCCTCACACACTTCTCAGTCCGGCCCAAGTCCAGTTCTCCCAACATCTGAGCGATGGTCTCTCTGGCTTCAGCCTACCAAACAGAGACATAAAAGACACACACACATCAATTATGATTATTTCAGGAACCTCTTAATTTAACTCCATTGCAGGTTGAAATTAACACAAAACGCACTCAATCATTTTAGCTGTGTGAAGTTACTACATCCATTGTGGACGAAATGATGTTATTTTAATGATGGCTTGCATATTTCAGCAACCACTTAACATTCAAAAAGTAAAAATTTATATTCATCAAATTATAATTGAAAAACACGACAGGAATGTTATCAAAGTCAAATGTCCTTAATAGATATGTACCTGTTTAAATTACATTGAGCACAAGCATAAAAATAATAATACATGAGTGATCAAAGAGTCTATACATCAATTTGGTGTAAATAATACACAATGAAGAATTTAACAACCCCCACTGTGAAGAAAAAAAAAAAAGAAAAAAGATTTTCTTTCCTTCTTACCACGTCTATACAGTCTTAAGAGTGAGTGACATGAGAAAATAAGCAGTCAGTTGATTGGCTGAACATTTCCATTTATGAATCAAAAGAGTTATTATTCTGGAAAGATTGGCTAAAATTAATTTTGTACTATCCTGAAAAAATTAAAAAAAAAAAAAAAAAAAAAAAAAATATATATATATATATATATATATATGTATATATATATATATATATATATATATATATATATATATATATATATATATATATATATAAATGTCAGAGAAACTTTCTGTGCCACGATTGCTTATAATATATCTGACTGTATGAAGACATCTTATGACACTAATTAGGAATGAATTACTAAAGAAATACTGCCTTTTGGCAAACATAGGTTTTAAATGAATAAAGTGAAATTGTACAGCAATAAATAAATGTGACTCAGCATGAATACCTGCGTCACCGTCCACAATGAACTGTGGTTTTCCATCTCCAAGTTACAGAGAGGGTGTCGACCGAGAAAGAAGCACTGGCTCCAAATTTAACATTTGAACTTTCAAGCTCCAAATATATCCACAGCTGCCAATATGGACAAACTAAATCCCATCTAGAGAACAGTTTTATGCTCAAATGAAGCAAATCACTTTAAGGTATAAACTAAATATCATTTTGCAATATTAATGATTTGTAAAAAGAAGTGAGGAGGGTAGAAGTCAACGAGACACTGCCACACACTATACAAGGTGGAGAGACTAATACAATATAATTTAGCTTAAATTAAAAGGTATTTTGATGACAACTGAACACAGTCAAGGGTTGCAATCAGACAATGACCACAAAGATACATCTTAAATGGTTCTGGAAGTAATGAATATTATTGAGTTCAACCCAAGTGAAGATTTTGAATCCTGCTTAAAAGTGTTAAAATTTAGAATGTCACTGGTTTCTCTGGAGCTTGCAAAGGAAAAATTAGTCAAATATGGGAGTGAATGTGTCAATTTTAGACTGTATGTATAATTATGACCCTGTGTGGCTCTTAGAAAACCCACAAGATGTTCTAAAATTCTAATTTGAACAACAAAACAGTGTTTCACTGCAGTTGCTGCTGAGTTTTGTATTTTAGCTTTGGTCCGTCACATATGTAGCATTAGCTTATAGTGGCTCAGGGTTTGGAGCTGTGTGGTAAATGTTGTTCTTATTAATATGTTAACGGCTGCATTATTCAATTCTAAATCTTTAGCTACTGCTTCCATTCACTGTCGATGTGTTTCAGATAGTTACGAAATGGGTCGTTAAAAGAAAAATGTTCTAGTAACACTTACTCAAAAAAAGAACATGGAGTGCCGATGCACATGTGCATGAGTCACATGCTGCTCAGAACTGGAACAGAAATAATAGCTTCTAGAATTTTTGTTCTGACGGGATTTTGACAGATACATTGCCATAGTAAAATGTTACCCTCACAAGTAAAACATCTGCCTAAATGCTGCTGTAAATCCTTATTAGATAGCTAGCTGGGTACGTCTCTCAAGCTACTGTTTTTAAACAGTTCACATGACTTCCTCCTCCTCACTGAATGAATATCAGTATACGTTTTCACCTCATGAACTCAGCCAGAACTACAGACTTGCCTTTATTAATTTCATCTTGTGTTGGCATTGTGTCATGCAAACTCAAGTTTCACGTAACTCTTCAGCAACGTTTAGCTATGTTGTCTACTCACCTGAAATCAGTTGTCTTTTTCACACTATTTTTGACATTTCTCAATTCTGCACATGAAAATAAATATGGACATTTTGAGATAAAAGCCTGAACGCAACTGGAAAGAAAAGTTGTAAAATGATATACACCTTTAAAATGATATACAATAATTGTGCCAACATCTCCCTGAGCAACATGTACTAATAATTCACTCTGATATGAACCTTAACTGTTTATCCTTTTCCTTATTTGCAATTTTTCACTTGCTATAGTGCCGTTCTTAAATCCTATTCTTGCATTTATCCATTTGCATCAACAAGAGTGGTTTCGCAGTTCTGTAAGAACGTTTAAATAATATCCATAAGATGTGCACTCCTAAAATGCAAATACATATTATGAAAATAGGCAAAATACCGGATGCAGCCTCGCGTTGTTTTTCTGAGAGTCAAACACCATGAGGGTGCAAAAAAATGAAAATAAGCCTACACACCCAATTTCTATCAGCAACCAAGTGGCACAAGCAGCTTTACTCAAACCAGATGCTGCAGCTGCAGGAATTAAGAGAAAACATTATGGAGTGGAGAGAAAAAGTCCAGCTACTGGAAAGGAAAGAGCTTCTGTGGGAAAAATGTGGTCTGAGTTAAGCAGTTTGAGGAAACAGTGGCTTGAAAGTTGTCAGCTCATATTAGAGACTAAACTCTGATATTTTTGCATTATATATGTGTGAACAATGCAATACGTTATATATATATATATATATATATTTATTGTTTTGCTTCAGTACAAATTATCTAAACTGTGTTTTGATTGGTGGACTGACCATTTAAATAACGCAAGTGTTGGCATAGAAGAAAATACATGGAGGAAAGCAGCATGGTTCACACCGTCTTGTTAAAACTTCAGAGAATGAAAGAATACTTGACTTTAGTTTTATCTGAGCGTTGGGGAAGCTGTCAGGAGTCGCAGGACTGAACAGTTTATGCTCTGATCTCCTGGAATGCAGAACTATACTTGATATTCTGAACGCTCCTCCAGTATCAATAAAATCCAGTATCAAACTACATATCAAAGATTTAGCCAGATTTAACAGGGGTCACGAGGCGGCTGAACTGCTCCATGTCATCTACGCCTCCCTTTTTCCATCGCTGAAGTAGAAGAAAGGGATCGTCACACCGTATGATGAGTATGCTGTGATCTTTGACTTTTACGCGAGCCCTTCTCTCTCTTTCTTTGTCTTGTGGCCGGCCTCATAAGCTCAGGCGGACCTGCAACTGTACGGAGGTAACTTAAAACGGATGGGGCGATTTATGAAGCCCTTAAATCACTAATCATAAACCTGCTACTTGGTGGATGAAATTCTGTCTGTCCCTCCGCTGTTCATGGCAAAAAGGGGAAAACCGATCTGTGAGAACTACAGACTGCTTTGTGTGCCCACAGTCACAGAGATCCTTAGCCAAACAAGATACACAGAGAACCAGATGAGATCAATAAACAGGGTTTATACTATTCACAGATCAAATAAGATAGTAGTAATGCAAGCTGCCACTTCAAAAGGGAGCCTCTGTGAATATTTTCTTTCTTGTTTTATGTAAAGGGAGACTCATCACATGGATAGCCTCTTGAACTTCTCTCAATTGCTGAATCTATGATACCAGAAACGGGCAGGTGATGATGCACTATCCTTCCCTTCATCTGCCTTTCTGCCTAAAGAAAGAGATTATTCTGCCAGATACCTTGACCCCGGAGGTATCCTGTACTCCAAGCTTGAATAAAGCCCTTTGAAAACGAGATATTTTACATTAATGGACAGCCATCCAACAAGTTGCTTCAAAGCTCCCTCCCCAATCGCCTGGTCTCCCACGGAGAGCTCACCTCAACGTCAGCTCCGTCTACCCTTTGATTCCCTCCATCATTCCCATCATTACAGGCCGACACACACAAGCGAGCGAGCAGACAGCCAGGCGGACGGGGCCGCAGAACGCGTGGACGCATATGAGAAGCTTTTCAAGTGCAGAAGAGCTGACCTTCCAGAAGAGTGAGGGCAGCTTCTTAACACGCAGCCTGAGCCTTGACGCTCAGGTTCCTACGGAGTACTGTGTATATGTGACACAGCATGGCTGCTGCCTTGTAGACATCACATCAGACCGGAACGTCCAAACTGATGTGTGTACAGTCCACAGCAGGACCAGCTTCCTCTTCAACATCAGATCATGAATGTCTCGCCCTCCTGTCAAGCCGCTTGAAACAAGCATTGCCTATGGAGAGCCTATGTGCGCAAGTTCACTTAGTTGACAGACTGAATTTAAATCATTTCTACTTGCAGCTAGAAGTGCAGCATATATACTGAATACAAAGTAGATGAGACATTTTAATGAGCTAATAGGGGAATAAACAGCGATTGCATGTTATTCGTCAAATTTCTATCCCACAACAATTCTAGTATTTGAATCCATGTTTCACACTATGGACACAAAACACAGGGGACCTCAAACACAGGAGTAATTGAAGTTTGTTCAGTTTCTTATTTTTTCGGATAGTAGCTCTCTAAATCAGGTCCATGGTCATAGGAACTTAGGAGTTCCTAAGATCACTGTTTTCTACTGTCTAATTTCTGCTTCTTTTACCTAAAATCTTCCAGTTAGAAGGTTTGGAGGCCCAGAGAGCTCCGATAATCAGTCAAAATCGAGGTATTTATTTCCTATAACTTCCCCGCTTCCTTTTTCTGTGGTAAGTATTTTTGGAGAGTCTCGTGTTTTGTCTTTTAAGTGTTGTTGTGGCTTGAGATTTCTACTTTTTTCTTCTGCCTCATTGTCTACTTTTTAACCACTGCAATGTTGGGCTTATTTGTAACAGAGATATTCAAAAACATTTTTTC